GCCTTCAAAGAGCCCTGGGTTGTATCCATGTCATGTCTTGATGAAAAATCAGAATAGGTCTTTTGTGGATGTTTACATTATTAATGTGTCTTAGCTAAAATGGCTACAAAGGGTAAATATGTGTTTCTTATTTTTCTAGCTACATGATGAAAATGGATTTCAGTTGTCTAGTATCTTAATAGATTTTGATCTTTGTAAAAACTAAATAATTTAATAATCTCTATCATTGTTTTAGGCAAATTTTATCAAGTTCATTGGAAAATTACACAGGCCTGGAATCTTGACTAGAAAACACTTGCGTCAATAATACTACAATATTGTAAAAAGTATAATAGGATGTTGTCATAGTCTTCTTTTGATTGAACAACTGGAATTAGAATGGAATAGTTATCTTGTGTGCCAAGCACAAAGTCAACACTAGGAAAGAATGTAGAAAATAATGACTAGTTTAAGGTTTTTGTGGACTAGTGGATTTAGTGTAGTGTTGCAGATGATTTTTAAAATGTATTCATTTGACTATGACCTTATTGAGGGCAGGGACTATGTTTTACTTTGTATCTCCATTGCTTTGCATAGTACCTGGCACAGAGTAGGTATTTAATAAATGTTTATTGACGGACTTATCTTGATTCTTCAGGGAGTACTGGCAGATTTGTGTCCTTGCTGGCTTTGTATTCTTGGCATCCTGTACCAGTGACCTGCCCGTTGACTTTAGACATCATCTCACGAGTGTATACATTGCGGCACTAGGCTAAAAACCAAAGAAAGGCCTACAAAAGAGAACACAGGGACATTAATTTAATGCAGTGTGCATTAAAGAGATAAGTCATTCAGTAATGCAAAGCAGCTCCAACTAAGCAAAGCATAATTAGGTTTAAAATAATTTACGGTTAGGTAAGCTTAATATAATTAGAAATAGGTTGTTGAATAAGGAATAGTTGATGAAAAAGTTATATTCATGTATTCTTAGAAGACTATGTATACTTTTTTGTTGTTAAATCTTATCCCACACTTCCTGACCCCATTTGGGGTTTTCTTGGCAAAGATACTGGAGTGATTTGCCATTTCCTTCTCCAGCTCGTTTTATGGATGAGAAAATTGAGGCAAATAGGGTTAAATGACTTGTCCAGGGTCACACAGCTAGTAGGTGTCTGAGGTTGAATTTGAACTCAAGAAGATGAGTCTTCCTGACTTCAGGCCTAGCACACTGTCAGTAGAGGAGTTTTTATATCAATCTAGAGGCAATAGGATGCCCCTGGAGATGATTGAGTTGGTGGGTAAAATGGGGAAAATCGCTGGCAGCAGTGTTGTGGATGGACTGAAGGAGGGAGGGACTTGGTTTCCCAATAATTTGGTGAGAGGTGATGAGAACCTGAACTAAGATGGTAAGTGTGAAGTGAAAGGTGGAGGTACAAATAGCAGAATTTGACAAGCAAATTGCTAAGTGGGCTGAGGGAGAGAGAAGTTGAGGTTATGCAAGGTTATGAATCTAGGAGACTTGAAGAGTAATGGTGCCTTCAACAGAGATAGAGAAGTCTTGTAAGAGGGATGATTTGGTAGGAAAGATAATGAGCTCATGATGTCTCTAGGACACTGGCTTTCATATGCTTTGAGGTTACAGAGCAGGGTCTCTGGAGTCAATAATGTGGCATATCCTGGCAAAAAAATCACTTAAATATGTTTGATTTCTTATCAGTGAATCAGTTTTGAGTACCTGTAGAGAACTGCACATTTGAATCATCTGAACCTTGATCCTAGGGAATTTCTGCTAGGAGTGTAAACCACAAAACTGAAAAGTAACCTGTTGGTCCAAAAGACTTATTTTGTATTTAACTGGAGATGGTCAAATCATGTCTTACCAGGAATTTATTTGTTCAACACATTGAACAGTGTAGCTCAGATAATTGAAACCATGTTCATGCTTTCAGGTGCCTTTGGGCTTGCCAACTCCAGAACGTTGGGTCACAAGGAGACTGGAGGAGAGCACAAATGTAGCACAAATGGCTCCTGGGCATGTGACCTCCTTTAGTATCTTCATAAATGGAGAGTGTCATACCTTTGTACTTTAAAGGCTAATACTATATCAAGGGCAGAGTTCAGCTTAGACTTTTAGGATGAAATCAGAAATTATTTTCATAGTCATTACAGAAACAGTTTAACGTTTGATTTTAAGTGAACCTTGGTGTGGCTGTGGATGATGTAAGACTCTTTAGTAAGTGGGAAGTGTAACGTTAGGTCAATGACTGAGAGTAACCCCCTTAGTAATAACAACCAGGCATTTGGCAAATTAGCAACTACTATCCTGGAAGATTTCCAGATATCAAAAGAAATCTAATGCCTCATTGGTCTATAAGTCTTGTCTCTAAGCAGAAGAGGGCTTTATGGTAAAAACTGCTTTGTGAAACAAGTCAACAGAGTTTAGAGATGTTTTAAACTTCAGAACAGTAATATTTGTGCCAATCTATGTGAAGAGGTGTCATGAAATGTAAAATGGAGCACTTCTTAGTGTCTTCAGCTTTGTTCTTCAAGAAAATATATGCTCATTTTACAATTAAATTTTTTGTCATCTACCTTTGGAATAACTAACAACTTGGTTGAAAATTGATTGTTCATTTGTTTTATTGTAAGAAAATCTTTGTACTACAACCATGAATTAATTAGTACCATGAATCAAGTCATTTACTGAACTGCAACTTAATAGCATTGGCCAGAAAATACATTTCTGAGTTTTTCCGTATCACTTTGAGAAACATTTGCAAACTTAAGAGAATTTCATATTTTAAGGTTTAGCTAGCATAATGTTTAGGGTAGCATTTCCCAAACTGTTATCTAACAAATCTTGATGTTTCTAACAAACCCTGATGGTGTGAATAGGGCAGTGAGAGAATGTCTATACTGATAATTTTTCCTTTCTAAAATATCAAATACTTAATTTTGCATTGAAAATAGGATTAGTTTTTTCTCTCTCTCACTTAAGCATTAAAATTTTCACAGCTCTTCCTTTTCCAAATTAGTTTGGGAAATATTGGTTTAGGGATTACAATTTTTGAAGTTTCATCTGTAAATTATATGATAATCTTTCTGGGCATTTATTTAAGATTGAAGAACTCGAAAATACTCTCCAGTTTTTACTTTGCCATCCCAGGGTGTAGGTAGGACCAGAGTAGATATATTGTCTGCTTATCTTCTGTGAAAAGAAATACCCACTGCAGGCATGAAGCAATTGTTTGAATACAGCTGCTTGTTTTGATAGTGTACAGTGAGCAGCCTTGGGTAACCTTTCACCTGTTTTAACCAGGAAAAAAAAAACAAATAGTCACAGTCCAGATGGTTAGAAGAAAACATAGTTGGGAAGAATGCTATATTCTAACTAAAACTTCTCTTACTACATTGAGTGATCACTGAATTACGTTATTGGAAAACAATATTTTTAGATTTTTTTTAAACTGGTGTATTGATCTCACAGTCACATACTTCTTTCTCTTAGTAAGGGAATACCAGACCTAGAAAGATGGCCAATGTCAGGACCACTGCTAAGTTTTGTTCCTAGAACCACTTTATCCTGGGTGATACTTTTTCTCTTCGTCCTTCCCCCCATCTAAGAACTTGTAATCCTTTTACCTAATAACCAGAATGATACTATGATTTTAACAGGGTGATCTATTCAGTTCCTGAAAAGGAAAAAGTTTTTTCCTTGGAAAGAATGGGAAAATACACATTACGTTTTTGGAAAGTTTAACACAAAGATTTTTTTTTTTGTTTACTTTCAGGGAAAATAATAAAGAGTTGTTTCAGGTCCAGCCTAGAATATGGAACATACAGAATGGTTAATCTACAGATAGGTTTTATTTGACTCCCGTGCACACAGGGGGTCAGCATTACTGACTATTGACCACCTGTTGGGCCTGACAGCTGCCCATCTAGACATATGCATAGATTATTTGTGAGAAGCTGAGGATATTGTTTGAAGGCCCCTCCTGCCTGGTGACCAGGATCTGATTACCAATTTAAACTTGAAAAGTCAATTCTGTAAGGTTTTAGGTTGGGTCAATAAAACATTTAACCATTTATTCTCTCCTTATGGCTTTAAACAAAAGTCTCCTTCAAAGCTATTTTAAAATATTAACTTCCTAGTACTATTTTCTCTTTGAGGGTTGGGCCAGAGAAGCAAACAAACAGGGTGGAGGAGCTTCCCTGATCTTTGTCCACAGCTGTGTCATAACACAGTTTTTATGGAATTGCTGCTAGATCAGGGCCCTATGGTCACTATTGCAAAACTAGTTTCTGTGGGTTCATTTTTCAGATTTAGCATCGTTCCCAAAAAGCACTAAAGACTAGCAGATGTCTGAGTTAATAGAAACCGTATTTACCTTCTTTCAGTACATTTTTACTTAAATTTTTACTGTGGCTTATTTACAGGAACTTGTGAGTGAAGGATGGCTTCATTTGGCAGTGTTCAGTCACGTTTTCTCATTGTAGAAGGCACAAAACGTTGAATTAAGTAATAAGAAAATTGAGTCTCAGAGAAGTGACTTGTTAATAGCACTGGAATGCAAACCCAGGACTTGTGACTCCAAATTCAGTGTCCTTTCCACTCCAACCCATTGAGCTTCCATTTATCCAAAACATTCCTGCTATTTTGAATAAATATGACCTTACCTCATAATGCTAATCAAATGGCAGTAAATCTTTTGTCCTAGCTGTTCGAGAAATAACTCCCACACGGGTTTTAAATATCACTGCGTGTGAAAGTCTGTTACTAAGAATAATTGATCTGAAATATCACCAGGATGTTTAAGTTGTATCAGAAAGAAACTTATTCTTTTGTTTTACTGTGACTTAATCTAGTTAAAACTGGCTGTGTCTCAGCTTCAGTATTGAGCTTTCAGTTATTTTAATTTCTCAAAATTTTGCTTATTTAAAGTTTTTGTGTTGTTAAATTGACTACAGATTTTTAAAATTAGTCCAAATTTTTCAAAGTAAATTCATTTCTTTTGTAGGCATATATTCTTCTTGCATATAAAAGAGGATCTTTTGGCTGGCAATCTTCAGTGTTCCTCAGAGCATGCTGTTGAACTCAGTGCACTATTGGCACAGACAAAATTTGGTGACTATAATCAAAACACCGCTAAGTATAACTATGAGGAACTATGCTCGAAAGAGCTCTCGGGCGCCACCTTAAACAGGTAACTATGGGCTGCTTTCACAGACCATTGACTTGATCTACTGATGTATGGATATAAAATAAGGTAACACTAGGCTCTTGGTGCCACCTCCTTCCCTTTTTTTAATGGCACTATACTTGAATAGTCTTAACATCTGAAGGGAACTGTGACCACAGTTATATATGAACAAATCTTCCATCACTGAATACCTTAATATGGAATATCATATTACAGCATAAACACCAGTGAAATGTCTCTTTTTCCCCCTCCTTCTTATACTACCTTACCACTACAATCCCACCTCTGATTTTGAAAACTTTAAATTCTCACAAGTTTGCCTTACATTTAATTGATGACTTTCAGTCCCTCAATAACTCAGGTAAAGAGATTGCTAGTACTTCAACAAATCCTTAATTTCACTTATATTGAGTGTTCCTTCTACCTATGCTGGTCACAGCTCCCTAACATCTCATTCTGTCTATGTCTCAGTATTTTGACTGCAAATCCTTCAAAATAGATACTACCTGGTATGCTGTTTTCTGGATGCCAATGTATCACTGGGCAGAAATCGCCATATATTATCCATCATTCTTGCTTTGTGATTGTTCTACCCTTTTTTCTAATCATGAATGTATGTGACATCTTTTATTAGAATGTTTGCATTTCTTGCAAAATTTATTATTGATAATATTCTGTGTAAGTTGTTCAAATTGCCTACTATTTTGAATCTTTTGAAAATGGTGACCCAAGAGAAGTTTAATTATATACAATTTTTTATTATGGTTTTTAGGTTTTTCTTTTATTTGTGTGTAGAAATTGATGTTAATTCCCTCTAATGTTTATTTTTAAAGTATTGGGAATTTATGCATAGTAGAATTCTTATGAAATTCCAATATATTAGTTTCCCTCCATATCTTCACATTTTGTAAAGTTCTATAACTCTTCTAATTCCACCCTATAAAATTTTCCTTTTTTTTTTTTTTTTGAAGTTATTGGTCTATCAAAAACTCTTGAGTACTTTAATGTAGTTTTAAAACAACTGGAAATTCAGCTTTAAATCAACAATACATTTAAACTATGTCACTGCTTTCTGATGGCATCAATATACTTTATCAGTAATCCATTCATGTAATATGCCTAGAACTAAATATCGTCATCTTTAGAGTTTCATAAAATAGTGTCTCTGGCTAACTCTTTGCTGATAGAGCTTCCTTTTTTTTTTTCTTTCTATAGTATTACCTCGAAGCACAAGGAGTTGGAAGGGATGAGTCAGGCTTCAGCTGAATATCAAGTTTTGCAGATTGTATCAGCAATGGAAAACTATGGTGTGGAGTGGCATTCTGTTAGGGACAGTGAAGGGCAAAAACTGCTCATTGGTGTAGGACCTGAAGGAATCTCAATTTGTAAAGATGACCTTAGCCCAGTTAACAGGTAACCAAGGTCTTTAAAGTTCTGGGTTATATTGTATGGCCTTGATTATAAAAATAGAAAAAAAGAGTTGGGGGTTTGAAAAATTATCACCCCTTGAATAAAATACATTCTTTCAGATGTACATTAACATTTTTAGGCTCCTGTTACTGTTTAATAATCAAGAACTTAGAAAATGGAAATATACTGGCCTGAAGGCATTAGTAAAGTAAATGGTTCACTGCCAGGAAGACACACCTTACTCCCTATAAATAGAATTAGACTGTTTTTCAGTCTGAGTCTATTTTGGGTAAATGCATGATACCTGTATCTATGTGTTTATAAACATTTTTTCTTATTTAACATTACATATTAATGGGTGAAGAGGTTGTTTGTCATTGACATGTTAAGTAACTATTTTTTACTCTTGACTAAGGAGTTTCTGCCAAAATTTAAGAAAATACTTATGACTCAAAAAATAAGCCGTGAGTTTCATACATTCTCCTTTGTCTTGATCAGATTAATTTTCTCCTACTTTTAGGATAGCATATCCTGTTGTTCAGATGGCAACTCAGTCTGGAAAGAATGTGTACCTGACGGTCACCAAGGAATCTGGTAATAGCATCGTGCTCCTCTTTAAAATGGTCAGCACTAGAGCCGCAAGTGGACTTTACCGAGCAATTACTGAAACGCATGCTTTTTACAGGTATATGTGGCTACTTATATGAATAAACCCTTTGTAACTTGTCAGTGAGGCAGCTAGGTTGCTCAGTGGTTAGAGTGAAGGCCTGGAGTCAGAAAGACCTGAGTTCAAATGCAGCCTCAGACACTAATTGTTGTGACCCTGGTCAAGTCATTTAACCTAACCCTATTTGCTTCAGTTTCCTCATCTGTAAAATGAGCTGGAGAAGGAAATGGCAAACCATTCCAGTATCTTTGCCAAGAAAACCCCAGATGGGGTCACAAAGAGTCAGACACAACTCAACAACAACAACAGCAAACTTGACAGGAGCGGTAGACTAAAAATGAAAATTCTGCAGGATTCTAAGTTAACTACATTTTCGTGTGCCTGTTATTCTCCAGCAAAATTTGAGAAGTTTGTTATTTGGGAATGTTTTTACTTCCATGGCAGCAGAACTACATGAAGCCAACATAGTCGTTGGTTTGGTGCTGTTTTTTTCCCACAAAAAACACATATGTATGAATTGTACAAGCATGTTTCTCTCTCTCTCTCTTTTTGCTTTATCTTCTTGGGCTGTTGCTTCCCCCCTAATGAACCTGGATCATTGTGCCTATATAGCTGCTACCTTTGTAACTTTTAAAAATTTAATTACCATTTCTTCAGCAATATAATGGTTCTCTCCAAAAGTTCAGAAAATTACAATATTTTCAGTTGTGTGGGACTATTGAGGACCCTTTTATTTTGAAAGCAGAACTATCAAAACCATTTTCAAACCTTCATAAAACAGAAAGATCCTCTTACTGAAAGTAAAAACCCAAAGCTTTAAATTTCTGACTGGCAGCATTTAGTTGTCTGAATTCTAGAAATGCATGCATGGTGTCTTAAGTATCAAGGTAGATTTTTGTTCAATCTGTTGTTTCAGGTGTGACACAGTTACCAGTGCTGTCATGATGCAATACAGTCGAGACTTAAAGGGACACCTGGCATCTCTGTTTCTAAATGAAAACATTAACCTTGGCAAAAAGTATGTCTTTGACATTAAACGAACATCCAAAGAGGTGTATGACCATGCAAGGAGGGCTCTTTATAATGCTGGGGTTGTGGACCTTGTTTCAAGGAGTGACCAGAGCCCACCTACTTCTCCCCTGAAGTCTTCAGAGAGTAGCATGACCTGTGGGAGCTGTGAGGGGCTCAGCTGCCAGCAAAGCAGAGCACTCCAGGAAAAGTTACGGAAGCTCAAGGAAGCCATGTTGTGCATGGTGTGCTGTGAAGAAGAGATAAACTCAACCTTCTGCCCTTGTGGTCATACTGTGTGCTGTGAAGGTTGTGCTGCCCAGTTACAGGTATGTGAAGTGTCAAGTAGCCTGTGACGGTTAGGACATTATTGTGTGACTTATGCTTTTCACAAATTAAATATGGCCTTCTCCAGCTACAGAGTTAAATAAATGTCCAGTATGTGTCTTTTAGGTCACTGTTTAACATTTCCTGTAATGGTAAAATATTTGAATTGCATATTGATGTACCTTTGGCGATTATATTACGAAAATAAGGGAAAGTATCCTTATCCATTACTTATGAGATTTGAAATTAGGCAGGGTTTTTAATCTTCTTTGTTAATTTCTGTAACTTTTTTTCATCCAATTAGTATCTTCCTACTACCCTGTATGCTTAAGGGTCACCTCTGTGTGCTCAGAGAATTTATATTAATTTTAATACCTACTCAAATACCCACTTTGAAAAATTCTTTGGGGTTAATTTCCTTTGTGGCATTTTTATGCCTTTTCTTGCTACTTTCTGACATTGAGTACAAACTGTTGCAAATTGTACTCACTTTTCAGTGGCAGATCATCAATTTTATGTGAAACTAGCCTTGAAGAGTAAATAATATTCCCTTGCAAGCTACTGACCAGTGGTAGGACCATAGCTCTGTGTTGGACGTCTAATCAACAGAGTTGTCATCTAATATTGTGTGAAGATGCCACTGCCCTATTATTGACAGACGTGTTTGATTTGTTTTCTGATTATTGGGGATGTGTTTGTGCCAGTTCAGTCCACTTGTTTCCTCTTGTAACCAGAAACACAGATGTGCCAAGAGTTTTCTTTTGGCCAGGTCTGGAAGTGTGTGCAGCCCAATCACTCATCAAACAAAACTGAGCCAACTGACTCAGTCATCCAAATCATCACTTTGGCCTCATTAGTATTTTGTGTTTAACCTCCTGGATTACTTGCCCTTAGCAAAGATTAAAGAATGGGCCTGAAATATTTCCATATTTCCCTACGAGTCTCCACTGCAAGGGAAGAGAAAGATCTATAATGGTCATTGATTGATTATATCATATCTTGTAATTGAAGTTTGGTAGAAATCCTGGTTAGTTGATTTCCATTAATAAATGTCTTCTGTTTATAAAATTTTTACTCAGGCCCCAGGAAAGTATAGAAGAACTCTACTACAATTGAGTCAAATATTTTTGAATTATTTATTCAGTAACCACCACGGATAATTGAATTCATTATACTTTTCTGAAGAAGAAATGTGGTACATATGTGTACTCTAAAGAAAGCGCCAGAGCATAATATAAAGGTGTTCTAACAGATACTGTCTTTGTCTTTTTTTAGTCATGTCCAGTCTGCAGATCCCGAATAGAACATGTTCAGCATGTGTATCTTCCCACCCATACAAGCCTCCTCAATCTTACAGTCATCTGATGTATTGTACTGATGCATTTACTTTATAAGCCACATTTCTACGAACTGCACTATTATGAACTAGAAAAAAATGTGGGAAAAATGATGACTCCAACACCTACCTGCAATGAGGAATGTTCCCCTGAAGGAAACATTTCTGAAAACACAACCATGGTTTAAACCAACTCCATTTGTGGTAGCCAAGGAAAAAAAGAAAAGCTATGAAAATCTCACATAACTTGACTATCATCTTAGGAGCAAACCTATAAGGAAAAGCAAATTTTCCTCTTCGGTGATGGATAAAGTGATGCCAGTGCCAAAAATTGGGCACTTGTAGGGGATTGATTATATTATGAATGAGCGTATTTACTATATCTGAAGAAAATTTCCTACCCAGAGAGCAGATTGTTGAAGAATTGGTTTTAAAGATTTCTTTTGTTTTCCTTTTATGTGGTCATTCCAGACATTTATAATAGGAATTTTTTTTATAAGTATACATTGTTTTAATGTCAGTTTTTGCTTTTATAACTTCTTTGAATATAAGGATTGGAGGGTTAATTAATAGATTCTAAAACCTGTTTTGTGACTTTAAAAAAAATAATTGCTGGTTAAGTATCAGATTCTAATCTGCCTGTTAGACAACAGATGATTTCAGTGCAGTGTGAGGTAGTTATTTCTTTTCCTAACAATACCTCCCTCCCCGCTTCTGTGTTTCAGAAAGGTAGCTTTTCTGAAAAGTAAAATCCTTAGTTAAGTAGTTTTCTGCTCATTGTTAACCACTCCTTTGGGTCCTTGGTTTGGTGGAAAGTCCATTTCTGCTGATTAAAGGGAGAATATTTTGCCTCGAAAGACTAAATTACACAACTCTAGAGATATTTCATGGTTGGTATAAACTATGATAGTCATTATAGTTCTTTCTAGGTATTTACTCCAGCCTCACTAAGATGGCGGTTATTTTTGCTTGAACTATCAAGCCTTACTTACAATCTTATCCTAAGTATCATAAGCGTTGTATAAGCTTTTTTTTTTTTTAAGTGCTTGAGTATTAACTTTTTGTTGTCCTCTTTTTAATATTGGGGGTGCAGGGGCTGTGTTTTTGTCTTTGTCTTCTTAAGCCTACCTTCCACTCCCCATCTGGGCATTTTGGACTCTGATCAACTAGTGGGTTTTTCTAGGACATAGGGAAACCTAGATTACCTTCTTGGGTGCAATACTAGCGAAATTCAAGCTAGAAAACCACACTGTCACTTTACTGAGATTTTTCTGAGTATACTTTTCATATTGCCTTAATGTAGCAGTGATGTGTTTATGCATTTGTTTCTTTGCACAGACATTTTGTCAAAATATTAAAATTCTACTTTTTTATGGCACATTAGCATATAAACCTTTATTGCAAGAGGTATTTATTTTTTCACTTGTAAAAAAATTGTTTCCACATAAAGAACTCTGTTATATCTTAGATTACATTTCTGTCTTTTTATATTCAGGTTAATAAAGACTTTAAAGCAAATACTTGATTTCTTTTCGATCTTTGTACTTTTTAAATTAGGCTTCACTTTATAAAAGAAAACCTGATAAAATGATGTCGCAAGTAATGCAACATTTTTTTCTTACTCATAAGAGTTAATTGTTCATTTGCCTATCCAAATTGTCCAATTTCCCTCTGTATGTGAAAATTAGAATGCAGGTTGAAAACTGGAGTATGTATGTATGTGTATGTATGTGTGTGTGTGTGTGTGTTTTCCAGTTAATTTTCATGTTTTGAGAAAGTTTTATATGATGGAAAAGGGATTGGCAGGAATCCAGCAGATGGAGGTACCAGACAGAATAGCAGTTACCCTTAAAGGAGAGGACTTGCCCCCAAACTAGGATTTAAAACCAAAAGGAACTTTGAGAGGTGTGTCAGATGCTCTCGAATTCTAGAAGAGAGATGAAGGAGAGACCCACAAAGGGCACACTTCTTGCCCACGGTCATGCAGTTAGTAAATAGCAAACCCAGAATTCTAACCCTGGTCCTTCTACTCTGGATCTGTCTGCTGTTTCTTTGTATTGTACCATGCTGAGCAACCCAAACTAAGGACCTCACTGCTCCAGGCATACTGGCATGTTATGGTAATTTGTGTGGTTCTGGAACTATCTTGTGGATTAGGGAAATACAGTCAATTGAGTTACCCAATCTAGGGAAGTTGTCAAGTCAGATAAAAAATACATTTACTTTTGTCCTATTGGAATGCCTAATAGGTATTTTGTAGCAATCTACTTTTTGAAGTTATGTTTTACTTACTTAGTTCACTTTTCCTTGAATATCCATGAACAGCTGAGTGGTAAGAGAACATGCCAGGAAATGGGGCAGCCTACCAAGGACAAACAAAAATAGAGTAGCCATCCTGGATGAAGTCATTGAGAGTTGTCACTACTTTCTTTAGATAAATATAAAATTTTACATATTATATGAACAGCCTAGAGAACTTTTAAAAGAAAATTATACGAAATATTCAAATATTGAATTTCAGCCTTAATTAGCATTCTTTTAGCACAAGCATAAACTTGTTACAATATATAAAACTTTTTCCCCAAAAAATGTTATACTGAATTTGCAGAGCGTTTTTAATTTTTGTCTTTTAAATTTAAATGGAGTACATTAACCATTAATTCTTGAACTAGGTCTATTTCTCCTGACTTAAGTAGTATTTTTAAGTTACATTTGGAATTCAAAAACGTAGAATGAGTCAATTAATTATGAAATATGTAGTTTCTGAGAGTTAAATACCTTTCATATTCATAGAATTATTGAGTTTTTGAACTGGCACAGACTTTCAGAGGTCATCCAGCTAGGTAGCACAGTGTATATATAGAACATTAGACTGGGAGCCAGGAACACCTAAGTTCAAATCCTGACTCATGCTTAGTAGCATGGGCAAGTCACTTGACCTGTTTTTGTCTCAGTTTGCTCATCTGTAAAATGAGGATAATAATAGTCCCTCTGAAAGTTGTGAGAGCAAAATGAAAATTTTGCACTTTGCCAACTTTGAAGCACTATATAAAATGCTAGTTACTGTTCATAACACAGTCCTCTCAGGCAAGAGAACTGGGACTAAGTGACTTGCCCGTAGTTCAGTCAATACAACTTGCCTCTCTGTCTTCCAATTTAAAGTTTCAGAATCTAATCACCAAACTACAGGTTGTTCTTTCTGAATCCGACATGGTATCTGATGGGATCAATTCCAGGTTCAATAATTATATCCTATAATTTGGTAATGCCCCACCCCAAAACAATCAGGTTCTAATCAATTTTGAAACTTCAGTTAATAAGTATGTGAATTAAAAGCAAGTCAGACTAAAGCATGAACTCTTCCAGGAAGTGAAACTTGAGAAAATCTTCCCCTGGACAGAGGCTTGGACAGCCAAGTTCAAACATAAAAGATAAATATGTGCTGAAAGTTGGAACTAGCAAGAGGGAAAAGGGGGGAAATCTATTTTACTTCAGGCTTACCTGTAGTAGGAAAATAAGGAAATAGAACAGTTTGTGTAAAATGTTCCAAGGATTCTAATAAATTTTTACAACCGTAATAAAGCTTGTGCAGATGCAGGACTACTTAGCCATAAGTACAGTCATAAGTAGCATTTGGTGCTCCTATTACATCTCACAGGCAGTGCTATCTCACCAAGGTTGCCAAACACTGCAAATTCGTTTCATCTGGGTGGCACCTTGGTTAAAATAAAGAAGGTTATTCAGAAGGAAGAAAATAACAGACCTGCAGCACTTGACTGTGGCCAGACAGTGTCTGGAATGTTCTGTTAAATTCTGAGTTCTACGTTTTAGAACTGTTTACAAGAACCCATCTAGAAGAGAGTGAACAGTATATGCAAGGACTAGAAACCAAGTCAAAAATATTACTTGGGACATTGAGAGACGGTGTAGAGAAGAGATTTAGGGGCAGAGAAGGTATAAATATATAAATATGTTTGTATACATATAAATGTATGTATGTGTATATATATATACACATATATAATCTCAGAATATTTTTCAATTAATATTTTTGTATACCTTCTTTAAATTTGAAGATTTTGAAATGAATAATAACCATATATGTAGATGTGCTAATGATTTATGTGTATTTATTTTGCATCCTGCAACATTACTAAAGTTATTAATTATTTCAACTAGTTTTTTGGTTGATTCTTCAGGATTCTTTAAATATGCCATCTGCAGAGAATAGTAGTTGTTTCCTCATTGCCCATTCTAATTCCTTCAATTTCTTTTTCTTCTCTTACTGTTATAGCTTGGGTTCCCAGTACAATTTTGAATAATGGTGCTGATAATGGGCAATCTTGCTTCAGTTCTGATCTTACTGGGAAGATTTCTAGGTCTTCCTCATTACAGATAATGCTTGCTGATGGTTTTGGATTAATATTATTTATCATTTTAATATAAATTCCATTTATTCCTATGCTCTTTAGTGTTTTTAATAGGAACACGTATTATATTTTGTCAAAGGTTTTTTTATGGATCTATTGAAATAATCATATGATTTCTGTTCATTTTGTTATTGACGTGGTCAGTTATGCTGATAATTTTCCTAGTAATGAACAAGCCCTGCGTTCCTGATACAAATCCCCACCTGGTCATAGTGTATGATGCTTGTATTACTGTAATCTCTTTGCTAGTATTTTATTTAAGATTTTTGCATCAATATTCATTAGGGAAATTGGTCTATAATTTTCTGTTTTTGACTTTTCCTGGTTTAGGTATTAGTAAAGGAATTTGGTAGGACTCTTTCTTTGCCTGCTTTTCCAAATAGTTTATTGGGATTAATTATTCTTTAAATGTTTGATAGAATTCACTTGTGAATCCATCTGGCCCTGGGATTTTTTTCTTAGGAAGTTCATTGATGGCTTGCTCAATTTCTTTTTCTAAAATGGGGTTAAGTATTTTATTTCTTCTGTTAATCTAGGCAATTTATATTTTTGTAGATATTCATCCATTTTATTTAGATTGTCAAAATTATTGGCATATGATTGAGCAAAATAGCTCCTAATAATTGTATTAATTTCCTCTTCATCGGTAGTGAATTCACCCCTTTCATTTTTTGGTACTGGTAACTTGGTTTTCTTCTTTCCTTTTTTAATCAAATTAACCAATGATATATCTTAAAAGGTAGAATTGGCCAAATAGAAAAGGAGATACAAAAATCTACTGGAATTGGCTCAAAGAGAAAATAACAATTGTCTCAAAGAAGGAATAACGTACACACTCAATTAGTATCTTACCACAGGAAAGTAGGAGGGGAAGGGGATAAAAGAGAGGGATGATAGGGAGGGCAGATTGGGGGAGGGGTGGTAAAAAGGGAAACACTTGAGGAGGGAAAGGGTGAAAAGAGAGAGAGAATAAATGGAGGAGGGGGGGAACAGGATGGAGAGAAACACAGCAAAGTAACTGAAAAAAATGTTGAAGCAAGTTTTTCTGATAAAGGCCTCATTTCTCAAACATAGAGAACTGAGACAAATTTATAAAAATCTAAGAGCCATCTCCCAACTGATAAATGATCAAAAGATAATGATCAGTTTTCAGGTGATAGATCTATAGCCATATGAAAAATAATACTCTAACTCACTACTGATTGGAGAAATGCAAATTAAAACAATTTTGAGGTACTACCTCATACCTATTAGATTGGCTAATAGGATAGAATAGGATAAAAAAGGGAAATGACAAATGTTGGAGGGGATGTGGGACAAATGAGACATTAACGTACTGTGGGTGGAGTTGTGAACTGATTCAACCATTCTGTAGAGCAATTTGGAACTATGCCTAAAGGGCTACAAAACTATGCATACCTTTTAACTTAGCAATACCACTACTAGGTCTATATCCCAAAAGATTAAAAAAAAAAAAAGGAAATTGAGGGGATGCCCATCAATTGGGGAATGGCTGAACAAGTTGTGGTATGTGATCATACTATTGTATTATAAGAAATGATGAGCAGGATGCTCTCAGAAAAACCTGGAAAGGCTTACATGAACTGATGCAAAGTGAAATGCACTGTGTACAAAGTAACAACAATATTATAAGATGATCAGCTATGATTTAGCTATTCACAGCAATACAACAATCCAAGACAACTCTGAAGGATTTATGATGAAATATGCTATCCCCAGAGAAAGAAATGATGGTGTCTGAATACAGATTTTGAAGCATACTTTTTTTAAACTTCATTTTTCTTGAGTTTTTTTTTCTATGTTTTCTTTCACAGCATGACTATTATGGATTTGTTTTGCATGACTATACATGTGTAACTTATGTTAAACTGCTTGCCTTCTCAGTGGGGTTGGGGGATGGGGAGGGAGTAAGGGATAGAATTTGGAACTCAAAATTTTATAAACGAATGTTAATAATTGTTTTTACATATAACTGGGGGAAAACAAATATTTAAAAATCCACTGACGAAAACAACTCCTTAAAAGTTAGAATTGGACAAGTGGGAGCTAATGACTCTGAGACCTCAA